AGTACGGCAAAGTGTGTGCATGACTGTCCCCACGGCTATTTCGGCGTCCGTGGCCAGGAGGTGAACAGGTTGCAGAAGTACGTGGCTCCTCCCTTGTCCTGGGCTAGTGTTGGGCTCCTGGGCACCTCTGGCTCCCTGTCCTCTCTGGTCCCCCGACAGCCACAGGGGGAGTGGGTGTATGCCTGAACCCAGACTCAGATACTTGCTTGGTTTCAGGTGGCTCGAAAGCCCTCGGCAAGTCAGTGCCTTCTCTGGTATAAGCAGGGGGCCTTCATCTCTACCCTAGTTTGCTGTGTGGCCTGGGGCCTGTTTCTCACCCTCTGAGCCTAGCTCACATGAGAAAAGGAGTCCTAGCTCCTAACGCTCTTTTTGCTGTGACCGGGGACAATCATGACCACCTCTGAGCCGTGACGGAAATGGAGCAGGGAGTCCTCACTCCTCGCCCAGATTTGCTGTGTCACTTGCCTTTTCTTTGCTCCAATGAGAAAGGCAAGCTTGAGCTTTAAACACAAATAACCATGCTGCCGTGGACATGTTACCTCCCCTGCTGAGCCTCAGTTCAAACGAGAGAGGGAGTTCCCCTTGAATGCAACCCAGTTTGACCGTGGACAAGTCTGGGCTTCAAAGGAGACACTGAATCCTGACCCCGGGCTGCAGGGCCTGGGGCTGCTCAGAGGCCCTCCCACCTCAGGCAGTCCCAGAATGCCCTCCTCCTGGGCAGCTTCCCTCACCAGGGGCGGCCCTGGCTCTGTTACAGAATGTGGGACCACGTGCGAGAGCTGCTTCAGCCAGGACTTCTGCATCCAGTGCAAGAGGCGGTTTTACCTGTACAAGGGAAAGTGTCTGCCCACCTGCCCACTGGGCACGGCAGCCCAGCAGAGCACGCGGGAGTGCCAGGGTGAGTGGGGGCCTCCTCATCCTGCCCGTTGCCCTTCCGCCCCGCAGCAGAGGCTGGTGAGGGTGTCAGGAGACCTGGAAGAAGTGTCACGTGGATGGCAGGCCCCACACACCATGTCAGGTATACACAGGAGTCATTCAATATGCTAAAACCACCATTATGATTATTATTGCGACCAACATCAGCATCATTATCATTAACAAGGGAGGCAGCTGAATACAGAAGAGCACTGATTTTGGAATAAGACAGACCTGGGTTCAAATCCCAACTCTAAAATTTACCCATTTGTGACCTTGAGCAAGTTACTTAAGCTCCCTATCCCTCAATTTCTTCAAACATTAAAAAAAAAATTACCATAGGACATAGAGCCTACTTCGTGGGAGAGGATTGTTATAAGGATTAAATTAATACAATTGGAAGCGCTTAATACAGTGACTAGTATACAGTAAGTGCTCAATACATGTCACTATTATTACTGCTGTTTTCCCCGCTGCTCCTTTTCAGACTCCTTTGTGAACTCCTCTTCTGTGATCTGTCCTCACTTGAGACTGGTTGTTCCCAGTGCTCTCACCTGAATCACATATCTCTGCCCACACATTCCCTCTGGGCTCCTGTTCACGGTCATTCCGAAAGCTGGTGGCGCCTGACTCACTGTCCCTGGCTACATCCCTCCCTGAGCATCAGACCACAGCCGCTCCTGCCCTCTACGTGTTTCCGTCCCTCCTTCCCCATCCCCAGCCTGGTGCTTTCTCTGTCCTAACCAGCTCCAGGGCCCATGCTGGCCACGCTGGAGATGTGGGCATCACTGGTGACGCTCCTCTCTCAGCCTACATCCAATCCGATCTGCTCATTCGTTTGCCAAGAAATATTTACTAGGGTATCTGCTATGTGCCAGGCACTTCTGAGGTGCTGGGGACTTATTAGTGAACAAAATAAATAATGCCTCCGCCCTTGTGGATGTAACATTGTGCTGGGAGACAGAAGAGTCACACAAGAATAAATACAGATGTCAGGTGGCAAAACCCCCTCAACTTTGGGGGGAAATGAAGCAGAATAAAGGTCCCCAACTACTCTACCCCCCCCCCCCCAACCCTCTTCTCCCCACACTCTGCCCATCACTGGGATCATGGCCACCGCCTCCTGGCTGGCTGCCTGCCTCAGGTCTCCCTGCCTCCGGCCCATGCTGGCTCTCATCTGAGCAGCCAGAGAGATTATTTCAAAATGGCAATATGATCAGGTTTCCCTTCTGCTCAAGGCCCGTCAGTGGCTCCCACTGTCCTCAGGGAGAGCCCTCCCAGGCCCTGTACAATCTGGCCCCCATCTGCCAGCCTCTCCACCCATCACTGTTTTCTCTCCACTTGAGTTTATACTCCAGCTTCCCCAGTTCCCGGCTGGTGTCAAGCTGAGTCCTGCAGAAGATCTGCGGGGGTTATTCCTTCCACCCGGAGCACTTCTTTTTCCTGCCCCTCCCTGAGCCTGGCCCACCTCTCCCTCCACTGTAAGACCCGGGTCGGAGCCTCCTGCTTCAGGAAGCCTTCCCAGTCCCCCAGGCTGGGACCTGCGCCCCCTCTGAGCTCCCACAGCTTCCTGGGCTCCTCCCTTTACTGCGCAAGCACCCTGTCCTTCCAGCCTGACTTCTCCGGAGGCAGACCCAGCTGCACCTCAGCACCCAGCACTGCCCCTGGCATGCAGTAGGTGCTCAGTCTTTGCCAGTCCAATGAATGCATCCAGCAGAAGGACATTGTTCTAAGGTCTGGAGACCTGGCTCTTGGCCCAACAGGATCTTAAACCTCCTGTGTTCTCTTGTGCGAGACCCTTCTCTCTTCCCTTAGCCAGTCCCTTCCCTGCTCTGAGCCTCAGTGCCCTAATCTGCCAAATGGGGGTGTTAATAGCCCCCCCATTCTCTGCTACCTCTCAAGGACTCTGAAAAGCATCAACTGTGAAAGAATATATATATATATATTTATATTTCAATATATATATATATATTGAAATTACTCCCTACTAAGACCTTTTATGTCCATGATTTCATTTTCCCTCCAACAGCTCTGCGTAGCTTCCACCTTCTATAACTGATCAAAGCCATGTGATCAAGTTCAAAACCCATGTCCTGGCCCTGAGGGCCATTCAACCAACCCTCTGGCCTCTCCTTCTGCCCCTCCCCTCCCAGACCCTCACTCCGCCCCCACGCTAGCTGCTCTGTCCCTCAAACATGGTTTTCCAGGCCCTGGAGCTGTGTGGGAGTCAGACATGTGCTCGCTGCCATCGCCACCCAATGCACCACTGTCTCCCCTTAGCTTCTGTGTCATCTCCTTGAGGAAGCCTTCCCCTTTAAAGCCAGACAGTTGGCCTCTCTGGTGTCTGGCCCACGACGGCCTGTGCAGGCTCCAGAAGAGCCTTCGTCCCAGGCTCTCGTCCCAGGCTCTCAGAAGATGTGATTTAGATGTCTCCCTCTGCTCCTGTCCAGCCTGAGTCCCCGCATGTAGAGATGGGGCCGCAGGCAGTTGACCCGCCCTCACCCTGCCCTCAGATCTGAGGGACACTCCCTGCCAACTGACTCCATCTGTCTGTCTGTCTTTCCCTCCACCCCACAGAGGAGTGTGAACTGGGCCCCTGGGGCAGCTGGAGCCCCTGCATGCATCACGGGAAGACCTGCGGCTCGGCCTGGGGCCTGGAAACCCGGGTACGAGAAGCCGGCCACGCGGAACAGGAGGAAGCAGCAACCTGCCAGGTGCTGTCAGAGTCGAGGAAATGTGCCATCCGGAGGCCCTGCCCAGGAGGTGAGCTCCAGACCAGGCCCACAGGGCTGCAGCGGGAAGGGCCCAGGGGCACTCTGAGCGGCCTTGGGACGCTGGTCTCCCAGAGAGTACATGTCAGGACCTGAGCGTCCACCATTAGCCGTGACTTCATGTAGGTAAGCATTGCCCTCCCGGTGTCCCTTCGAAGGAGGGTCTGCCGTCTGCCCTCCTGGGGGTCAGGCCCAGATCATTAGGAAGATCGAGCTTGTCCTTTACATCAAGGTTCTCAGCACTTTCAGACTGACCCCTCTCTTTCATCACAAGGGGTTTGGAACTGCCTCTTTAATATTCTGAAATGAAACTCATGGATAATGTAACCCACTTGCATATGTCATTTAAAAAGATCAGCATAGTGCCCTAACCACAATATAAAGAGAACAAAGAAACCTCATCATGGCAATGCTCGGGCCCAACACGCCCGAGAACGCTCAGTGAAGCAGAATCATGGCCAAGTGATGGCCAAGCTCAGGGCTCAAGTGCACGTTTGTGTTGCCATCAGAGATGCAACTTCCCTAATGGTGGCCAGCTCTTAACAAAGTCAACAAACCTGTCTGGCCACTTGATGAACACCACCCTGGCCACCCTAGACCAGTCAGTGAATGGGGAAAGTGTTCACACACCCTTGGCATTCACACCAAGATGGAATTTGTCTCTGAGCAAGCAGATTGTTCAGTAGTGAGAGCTGGGTGGGATGGGGACAACTCTTTTTGTGAGGGACTGTCCCACCTCCCATCCCTGTCCACTGAATGCCTCTGGGACCCCCTTCTTTGTGACAACCAAGATCACCACACAGATATCCAAACTATTCCCTGCGGGCGCTTAGGAACCAATGATGTGGAAAAGAGGGACTGCAGAGTGTGGTCGGTAAGATGTGAATGGTGAATAGTAATAATATGGAATTAGCTAATGTTAACTGTGCTCTTACTATGTGCTGGGCACTATGCTAATTCTCTATACTCATTAAGTCATTTAATCTGCACAATGACACCGTGAGGTAGGTATTATTATTATACCCATTTTACAGATGAGAAGATTGAGGTCCAGAGAGGTTAACTCATTTGCCCAAGGCTCACACAGCTAGGGAAGTATGGACCTGGAATTCAAATGTAGGTCTGTGTGCAAAGAGGGATCCAAAGTTGTGTTTAAGCATGAGCGACCTGGAGGTAGGGCACCTGGGACATGGTGGAGCCAGGCCTTGAACCCAGGGACACCCCTGGCCAAGTGAGCTGGGAGCCACTTGAAAGTGACACCAGGAACTGCAGCCCAGGCTGTGCCACTGAGCAAGCAAGGCCTCTCACTGGGTCTCAGTCATCTCATCTGAGATGTGGGACTAATCAGATATTTGTGTCAGAAACTCACCCCAGCTCCACAGGGGTGGGGGCACAATGGGGTCAAGATTCTGAGTTAGACTGGGTTTGCGTCCCAGCCCAGCCCCCCCCCCCCCACAGTGGGCACTGGGTGAGGTACAGACCCGGAGCTGCCTGTCAGGGCCTCCCCCACAGCTCCCTGAGTCTAACAGAGCATCTGGAGCACGGCTGCCATGCGGGGCCCCTAGCTGAACGCTCCTGTGTAGTTGCTGTTCTTTTGATTGTCGTTGTTTCAAATGGCATCACTGGGGCCCCGAGGTGCGTGGGGAAGGTGCTGCGGGGACCTGGGTAAAATGTGTTCCCTCCAGCAAAGATCCCTGTGAGCCATGGAGTGCGTGTCCCTGGAAGGCTCACAGGCACCCCCACAAGCCACCCTTAGTCCTGGGGGGCCCTGAATGAATCTCCAGGCCTGGGGAGGGCCCAGCAAGTGAGCGCCCCTCCCTGTCCACAAGGAACTGAGAGAAGTGTTGGGTTTGGGGTAAGTTTTCCCACAGTCCAGACTCCAACAGGAGTGGTTGCCAGGTCAGCGCCCAAATGTTACTCTGGGCCCTGCTGGGAGGTGGGGGGGGGGGGCACCCTCATCTTTCAGATTGAGGGGCCTTCCCGGACCCAGCTGGCCTCAGAAACAGCAGCCTGTGCTCCCACTGCAGAGAGAAACCCCAGCCCGAAGAAGGGCCGGAGAGACCGGCGCCCGCGCAAGGACAGGAAGACGGACCGCCAGCTGGACGTGAGGCCCCGCCGGCCGCAGGCCTGAGAGCCCAGGGGGCTGCCGCCTGACCGCCCTCCTCCAGGCCACGTGCTTTCTCCGCACCCTCTTGCTTTTTTTCTTTTCCCCTTTATCTTTCTTCCCCATTTTCTGTTTTCCATGTCAAGCTGCCTTTCTGCTTTTCTTCCCTTTATTTCCTGTATCCCTTCCATATCTACTTTCCTCTCCATCTTTTCTTCCTGTCCTCCCTTCCTCTTCCCCCTTTTCTTCTCTTTCCTTTTATCTGTCTGCCTTTCCTTTCCTTTCCTCCCATTTTTCTTCCTGTTTATCGTTTCTCCATTGTGTCCTCTCTCTCTCTCTCTCTCTCTCTCTCTCTCTCTCACACACACACACACACACACACACACACTTTGAGAGACCAAATGCCTGTGCCTTGCCTCTGCCCCGCCCCTTCCTCCCCCTCTTTCTATCTACTCCTTAAAGAAAGTAAATATCTTTTTCTAGGCCTTTCCCTGACCCTGTCCTGACCCCGCCTTTTCAGAGAAGGGGTGGGGCAGGGACACAGCACAGACCTGCTCCCGAGTCCCGGGAGCCCTGCTTCTGCTCCAGCGGAGACCCCAGACCCCAGGTGCCTGTGCCTCCTGCTCTGGCCAACCTCTGGAGGCCGTTTCCACAGCCCTGGGCCACGGCTCCCCCAGGAAGGCTCCGGAAGAGGCTCCTATGGAGGAGCCACCGTGCAGCCTCTGGCGGACAAGCAGCCCTGCGCCGCCTGTGGCAACAGAGTCCACCCTCCTGGAAGCTCCTTCAGTGCCCACCCTCTTCCCGTGGGACTATGGTCCCCTGTCCTTCAGGGACCCAAGCACTCCATCAGGGTCGCTGGCAGCCGGCTCAGCCCACATGAGGCCATCGAAGCTGAAAGGAACTTGGAGCAAATCCGGGTTACTCTGGTCCCCAACCTGGAGCTTTCTGCCCATTGTACCCCTGGGGAAACTGAGGCCTGAGAAGAAAGGGACTTGCCTAAGGCCTCGGGGAACCCAGGGGCTGTGCCTTCCACCCGTTGGCTGCCCTGCTGAGAGGACCTCGGGCATTTGAGGGGCGGTGAAGAACACTGTGGTCAGTAGCAGGAGAAGACGCCCCGTCACCCACACCACCATGAGCGCTGTGTTTCGCTGTGATCCCCCACACGCCAGGCAGGAAGACCAGGGGGGAGTCTCCGGCTAGGCCCAGCTGAGAAGTAGCTTTGCTCGCACTGCTTGTCACTCCACCACCATGGCACCCCTTCCTGCTTTGATCCCCGAAACCCCAGCAAGGGGCACTCCCGCTGTGCAATGGCATTCCTGGCTGGTCTGAACTCAGAGGGCTCAGCAGCTAAGAGAGGAAGACTCTGACCCGAGGGGCCCGGGGTGGGATGGGGCACCTGGGGAAGGGGGTGCCAGCAGGCTGGGGCAGGCTGAAGGTGATGAAATACCATCACTCCCCCACTCCAAGAGAGTGCCCAGCCTCGGGCCTTCCTCCCCATCCTCCACTTGGCGCAAGGGGAACCCCTGACCCCTAAGGCCCACCCTCCCACTCACCTCCCTAGGGATGGCTAGAGCCCCCCCCCCCCCCGCCTTGTACCCCCAGGAACCCTCTGGCTTCGAATGACATGTGCCCAGGGGCCAAGAAAGGTCTGGCAATCCCCCAGAGCCATCTTACGCCTGCGCTGTTGTGAAGGTGGCCTCCAGCCACTGGGAAGGCACGGGTTCGAGTCCCAGCCTGTCTGGTGGTCTGTGGGGCCAAAGGCCAAATCATTTTCCCTTTTCTGGGCCTGCTTCCCCTTTGGAGAGACGAGCAGGTATGACTGGACTTAATCTAGTGCCCAAATCTGGTGGCCCGACAGCATCCTCTGTGCACTTTGTAAAAATTCCGGTTTCAGGGTCCCACCCAGACTTACTAAATGTGGACGAGTTCGGGAGCAGACAGGGAGAGCAAGCTCTGGATGGGTGTTCCAGGACACGCTCACCGCGAGGGCAGCTCTCGGGGACCGCCAGCTGGGGTCTAAATACTGAGTTTTCTGATAAGATTCAAATGCGAGGATGCTGACGTTTCTAAAATCCACGATTTTAAGAGACCCAGAGAGGAGAAGTTTCCCTTCCAGCAATCCCCTGGCCGTGTTCTCTCCCTCCTGGGAACTGGTTTTCCGTCTCCAACTGGGGTCTCTGGTCAAGGTTGTTTCTTACGTTTCAAATTAAAAGATGGATTTTTCTTTTTTTTTTTTTTATAAATTTTATTGATTTTTTACAGAGAGGAAGGGAGAGAGATAGAGAGTTAGAAACATCGATCAGCTGCCTCCTGCACATCTCCTGCTGGGGATGTGCCCGCAACCCAGGTACATGCCCTTGACCGGAATTGAACCCGGGACCTTGCAGTCCGCAGGCTGACGCTCTATCCACTGAGCCAAACCGGTTTCGGCAAAAGATGGATTTTTCAATGCCTAAGCCTCTCCTGTGCCCTTCGGAGCTCAGACATGGCCTCCCCTCCAGCTCCTAATCCTTTACAATCCCAGCCTCTCCCACATTCTTCTGAGGATCGAAGCGTTTTGCTGGTCAGGAGAGCTTCCCGTGTAACTGCCTCTCACAGGTGAGGCTCAGAGATAAACTCAGAAACTGGCCAGGCCGTGGGCGGAGCCCAGCGGATGGTGCGGCCCCTCCAATGGGAGAGAACAAAGATTTGGCCGCAGCGGGAGGTTTCCTGCCCTTCCCCTCCCTCCCGGATCCAGAGGGGCTGCACCTGGGCCCTCCCGCAGCCGATCCCCCAACCACCTGCCTCACTCGGTCCCCATCCCTGCCTGCTGCTGCACCGAGGCCCGGCCTCTCATTCCCACCTCCTGTCACTAGAGGGCGCAGCCCAACCAGAAAATAGAGCAACAGCCCTAATTACAACATTTCCCTGAAATAGGAAGCAAGTGTTGCTTTTCTTTTCCTAGCTAGACCTGGGAAGGGGCAGGGAGGCTGCCTCCTGCCTCAGGGCCGGGAGGACCAGAGTTGCCGTGGTGACCTGAGTGACATTCAGAGGAAGACCCAGCCCAGTATCCCGCAGCCAGTAATCATGACTGGCAGTTCCTGGCCTCCTGCTAAGACATCCAGGGACGGGGAACAGTGTTATATGTCTCCATTTTCACCAATGGGAAAACTTCTAACTATCCTATGTGGTCCTGTTGACTCGGGAAATATGCATTCTTATAATAACAAATAACAGTAGTCACGACGCCCTGGCCAGTGTAGCTCAGTTGGTTGGGTGTCGTCCCATGCACCCAAAGGTTGCTGGTTCGATTCCTGGTCAGGACATATGCCTGGGTTGTAGGGTTGGTCCCCAGAGGCAGCTAATCGATGTTTCTCTTTCTCTCTCGCCCTCTTTCTCTCTAAAAAATCAATAAAAATATTTGGGGAAAAAATAGTAATCATGATAATAGCAATGTCTTATATGTACTGAGCAATGTCTTCTATGTATGTGTCAGGCAGTGAAGAGCTTTGGGGGCAGTATTTCATTTCCTTTGCTTTCCTCTCCTCAGTAAAGGTCACAGTAACTCCCATTCGACTCATTTGCTTTAATGTGCGGACATTTTCACACCCTCATCTCCTGCCACCCTCACAGAAACCCTGCAAGCTAACTTATCGAAGAGGAAACTGAGGCTCAAGTGAAAGTCATTCAAAATTCATCAATCTCCATTATCCATCCATTCAATAAATATACCAAAGTGCCTGCCCAGCACTGTGTGACCCAGGCCCGGTCGCTGTAGCTTTCAGTCTGTGGACAAGTCAGTTACAAAGGCCTACCTCGGAGGACAGGGTCTAGGAGGAGGAACAGCACATCCATCCGCAGCTTACAGGCTCAGGGGGCTCCTCCTCTAAGACCAGATAACCAGGCTGAGAACTGGAGAATGAGGAGGCGTTGATGGGATCGGGGGAGGGGCCCCAGCTCAGGACACAGCACATGCCAAGGCCTGGAGAAGAAGCTCCTGATGGGGTGCCAACCCCAGAATCCTCCTGGGCTGTCAGACTCTGGAACACAGGGACTCAGCCCTGGGGACTGCTGGCTCCTCCTTACCCCACACCCACACCCCCTCCATGGCTCCTAGACCAGTGATAGCGAACCTATGACATGCGTGTCAGAGGTGACACGTGAACTCATTTTTTTGGTTGATTTTTCTTTGTTAAATGGCATTTAAATATATAAAATAAATATCAAAAATATAAGTCTTTGTTTTACTATGGTTACAAATATCAAAAATATTCTATATGTGACACGGCACCAGAGTTAAGTTAGGATTTTTCAAAATGCTGACACGCCGAGCTCAAAAGGTTTGCCATCACTGCCCTAGACTCACCTATAGTCTTTCATGAAACCTGCCAGCCACCAGGTGGAATAGGTCCAGGCAGACCTGCAGCTGAAGAAGCCATCTCAGAAGGGAGCCTCCAGTCCCAGCGGCTCCAGCCCCAGGCATAGTCTTCCCAGCTGGGCCCCAGCAGAGAGACCCTGGCCCCCCTCTGTCCTGTCTGAACCCCTGATCCTCAGAACCCAGGAGCACAATAAAATGGTTGTTGCTTCATGCCTCTAAGGTTGGGGAGGTTTGGTTCCAACAATGAACAACTGGAACAGAGGCTAATAGGGGCTAATAGCAGCACTGCTCTGCTAGGGTAGTGGGGCAGGTAAGAGCTAGACAGCAAGGCCATAAGTCCCATCTCCACCTCTGGCCAGCTATGAGCCTTTAGGCAAGACCCTGTACTTCTTTCTGCCTCAGTTTCCTCATCTGTGAAAGGGGATAGTGAATATCCCACATGGTGTCACTGTAAGGTTTAAATAATAAAAGTTTTTATTACTACACATATTTCATTTATTCATTCAACAACCATTTCTTAAGCACTAAGTCTGACTAGGAACCATACCAGGCACTTAACATTGAAAAGTTAAATCCATCCTCCCCAGAGCCTTCTGAAGTGGATTTTATTATTATTCCTACTTTTTACAGAAGAATCTGAGGCTCAGAAATTAAGTAGTGATTGAGAACT